ACGATAATAATAGCACAAGTAGAGCTGTTGCACGCGCTCGTGTGGGGATTCTCGGGGATGCTGGAAGTGGGCGTACATCGCTTGCTTCTGCTGCCGCGAAGGTGGCGGATCGTTGCGGCTCCGCTTCTGACTTTCAATCTTTAAGCTCGGGTTCCTTTGTAACGTACATTTATCAGTCGTCCGTGTCAAGGCGAAAGGAATTTTTGGAGATGAGTGTTGTTGATAGCGGACCAGTACCACTTCGCGGTGGTACGGCCCGTCACGTATTACCAGGCTGTGACACCATTGTCATCGCCTTTGCTCTAACGGGTATCAAGCAGAAATACCCTGCCACAAGAAAGCTATTTACCTTTATGGGGAAAAACGAAGGAAATAAGGAGGATTCATCTACGGTCCTTGTCCACGCAGGGGATCAAACACTACTTTATGATTTGTTCGCAACGATTGCCGCACGGATCCCCCCTGGGGGGCGATGCCCAAATATTATACTCGTAGGCACCCATAAGGATTTATTAACCGATCAAACCACAGGTGCTGTGGAAGTCCTTTTAAAGGAGGTTCGGTCCATTTGTAACAAATTTTTGGCGTCTTTTCGGAAATCACTTGTGTTGAACTCCTTGTTTGCGGTAAATACTGTGGATGGGTCCTGCGTGTCTGAGAACAGGGAAGGCCCTACCACAATGGCGGGAATGTGGAGTTTTATTTGCGATGTCACTCTGAAAGAAGTCTTGTCGCGCCATTCATCGAGGATAAGTCATCAAGCTTCTTGTAGCGACTCTTTCTGGCGTCCCCATCGTTCACCTCTCTACGCAGTTGCCCCATCAGAGACGTGTAATTCGAATGAAGATGAGCTCTCTTCCAAGTGGAATGACACGAATAATAACAGTTCTTCCTCTCATCCTTGTTCAGTTATGAAAGTGCCTGTGAATTCGCGCATTGATGCAGCCAACTCTAAACTACTGGGTCTTATTACCCGTGCCAAGGCGGAGAAGAAAGTCCTTTTTGCTTATCGTAATATTCTTTGGAGGTTGTTGTATTCATCCGTGATGGTCGGTAGAAGGCAGTTAACGTTGATTCTGGAGAAGTTGCAAAACGCTGGGGAGGTTGTTTTGATCCGCCATCATCCCGACGTTCTGCCAATACGAGATGTGTGTATCTGCTTCCATCCGCATCTTCTTGAACGGGCCCAAGCAACAGTTTTCTTATATGCTAGCTATGCCAACAATCATTCGGAGGCGCATGGTAATCTACTCAAGGATGTTAACTTGGAGCGCTGTGGAGAGTGCGACCCTAATCATGATGTTTCACGAGGCATATTTTCTCATCGGTTACTGTTGGAACTTTCTCCCAGAATTAAACTGGCCTGTTTCTCAACAAAGGAGGTGGAAACATTTGCGATGTTGCTTTTGCTTTCGGACACAGCCATTCTTCGACGGCCCTTCCTATCGGCAGCAATGAACACTGGGAACACCTCTACAACTTCCACGGTGACTATGGAAGGGAAATTCAATGGGGTATATACTCCAAATACCAATTGCCCGGATTTTCCTGTAACAATGTGCTCTTCTGGGAAAAGAAATAAAGAAGATGACTTTGAGACGGTATCGGAACTTCCGTGTGGTGCACCGACGCAACGGTGCTTGATGGTGGAATATCTTGTTCCTAGTTTGATAAGAAACAGATGCCCACATGAGGTAATAGAATGTGTGCGGCATTTCGCTGCCACAACATGTGAGGCAAAGGATGAACAGCAGAATAACGTGATGTCACGTGTATTGATGTTACATCACTGCCCACAAGATTTTTTCCCAATGCTAACGAGCCGTCTGCATCGGTATATGGTTCCATCTGTCCCTGTTTTTTCCGAGACTCTTTGGCTGGGCAGTTTGACGCCAGCAGGAACACCACTTCCCCTCTTGCGGGTATGCGTTTGTCACACACGAGATGAATCTATGGACAACGCAGTGAAGGAGGGGGGCCAAATTTCTGGGGTCTCGCTCCTTGAGTTTCACGCATTTTCGGATGTTGGATATTTGCCACTGGTGTTGCTTTTGGATGATATTACGCGTGAGGCGGCGCGACTAATTCGACACGAGTTCCCTGGGATGCTCACAGAGGCGCTACCAAGTAACGTTCCTTTGAGCGGGAGGCGGTTGGGCGGTAATCCTCTGCTTGCGTCACTCACAACAACAAGCGAAATGGGCTCCTTCACAGGGATGACGACGTTGAGGAAGCTGGACACTCTCTTTCATTCATTTAACTCATGACCTTCTGAGCTCTGCACCTTTCTGGGATGAAGATACACAGCTATATATTTATATTTTTTTAAGTGGTACTTCATCCCCATCCGCTTTCTTTCTTGCGGCACAATAATCGTTTGTGTTCCGCTGCGCGGACGTCTTTACATCCTCCTTCCTTTTTTTTTTTTTTTTTTGGAGTTTTGTGTTCTCTTCTTGTTTGTTTTGAATTTGTAGTCTCTTGTAAGGGAGAAGGGAGTAATAATAACTATTATTTTTTTTTTTTTTTGTTTTGATGTCAGGGACGCTGAAAGAGAAGTTCATTGACCCCGATGCCGCAGTCTGCAGCACTTTCTTCCGAACCACCGATGCCTCGGAGAAGACATGGCGTGATGTGGCGCTCGTAGCCGAGTTGGATAACCACACCTTTTGGACGGTTGTTGCAAACCACAGGAATTTACCGCTCGTTCTGAGAAACCTCATCACCGCTGTGGATGTTGCTCACAGCTCGGCCTTTCGTCGTCAGCTTAAGCGAAGTGACGAGCAAGCCTTGATCACTTTTATTGTTCGATTAGCTACCACTACTTCTGCTGTTTTATCTGCGGGCGTCAGCTTGACAAGTGTGGCGAGGCACCTTGAGGAAATTATTCCGCCCGATCTATTGATGCCTGTTTCGCTGATCATCTTGCGACACTGTTTCTCCATTGCCTCTGTAACGATTACATCCCTTATTCTTCTTAATCCTTTGTATTTGTGTGCCATGTCGGCCACGGCAACCTCTTGGTGCAACACGACCTCTTGTCTGTCCGTTCAGTGCGTGAGGGAAGTTGCGAGGGGCAGACATCAACGACTAGCCGGAGACGTGGTTCAACTCTTTGAGCAGGTATACCGTCATGTGAAACAGTTATGGGCACTTGTGCACTGTGTCCCATTTCTTGCGGATTACATGCCGTTAACGCGCGTGTTACAATATTTACGGGTTGTAGTTGATTTAATCTCACCCCTTCTTCAGCATTTTCTCTTAACATGCACGACGCTCTCCAAACGTCGTGAGCAGCTCTCCAAGGCGAACTCAGCTATTCTCAATGCTGCTGTCAACACCGCATCGATACTTATATTGTTCCGCACATACCAAAAGGTGGCGGGCTTTGATCGATGTCACTGTGTGGAGCGTATTGTGGTGCCTGTCTACGATGCCCTCACTAGTCACATTGTGCAAAAGGTGCGTGGGCCTCCCAGTTTGTTGCTTTCCAACACAAAACGACCATTAACACGAATAATACATGAGCTTGTGCCTCCACAAGCAGGTAAGGATGAATTGGAAGTGGGAAAAGTATTACGTCATCTAAGCGAAGCGGTGCCCGACAGTAAAGACTTTTCGGACGGATTCTTGGGAGCTCGTCCCCGCTACCTGGAATTACTTCTGCTGGAGTTGATACATCAGGGGTTTCATATTGATTTGCTCATGGAGGAAAAGTTTATTACTATTCATGAGGCGGAAGAACTTGGGGCATCGGAGCGGGTTATCACGCAGGCCATTCTTGGCATAGTTGAAAAAACTACAGGGGATGCAGCACTTTCAAAAAGTGACGGTGGCAACGACGATGTTACCGAATTCCCGAATTCAACAGCAGCAGCAGCAGCAGTAACAACAACGACAACAAGAGCTTCTTCAGATCCATTAGTGAAAATTGTGTTGGACGTTATGCCCCAATTTAATGTGGAGGGTATCAAGGCTGCCTTGTGTTATTACAATAATGACGTGGAACATTTTATTCTTGATGCCTCCATGAATAACATACCCCCACATCTTCTCACGCAACTTAGCGAACCCACATCTTCTTGTTCTGTGGAGATATCAGGTCGAGACGAAACGGGGGCGTCTGCAGTCAATGCAATCGCCACCGCTGTTCCCACGTCTAGAGTCCCACATACGCTTACTTCAAACGACTACGACAGTAATTTTGATGGCATAAATTTGGATCTATTTATTAGCCTTGACTTATGCGATGTCATCAAAGGTGACGACAGGCCCTTTTCTGGTGATGATCTTTCAAACGATCTTGGTTACACCACGTATCATCCTGACAGTCACCGTGGTGCCGCGGAGATGTTTGAGGTGGATGAAGCATTGAGGGAGAAAATCCGCATGTTGACCGAATTGATGTACGAGGATGAGTTTGACGACACCCAGGAGATTGCAGGGGTGTGCGGGTATGAGGCTGGCCAAGATGCGAACGGCTCGGATTCGTCGGCTTCAGGCGACGAAAAGGCTGATGCGGGTCACATTTCCAAGAGCGGCCTGAGGGAAGAGGGCGCGATGACGACTACGACGCCACATCGCCCCCGAACACAATATGATGAAAAGCGATTTCATGATACGCGTTCCAAGCAGCGTGAAAAGAATCTGAAAGCACTAAAGGAAGCGCACGAGGATACACCAGCGTACACCAAAAAGAAGAAGATTACACGCAAAAAGATGCAGCATAAGATGACCCTTACACGTGATGTGAAAAGGGGCAAATCTGACTTGTGAGTTTTTTGCATCGTCAGGGATACCTTGTCGTGGAATTCCTTTTGCTGCTTTTGTCTTACTCTGGTGTCTTTTTCTTTGTCGTCGTTGGTGTTTCGTTTTTATTCTTATTGTTTTGTTGCCTGTGTGTGTGTTCGTTTGTTTGTTTATAATCGTGTTGCTCCCTTTATTTTTCTTTACTTTCTCTTTGTTTCTATTTGGAGGAGGTGGAGGTCGCCTCCTCTATTTGGATGCGTCTTTGCCATTTTTTTGATTTGTTTCCTTTTTTTTTTTTTTTTTTTGGCCGCCTTTTGCTTTATTTTTTTGGCGTTGTTTTGCTTTTAGCTTTAATAAAACGTAGTGAAAACATGTGGCATCGTGTTCGGGTTTGCGCAGTTGGCTCAACAGCAGCGCGGACGGAAGCGCCGAAATTGGCATCAAGCACAGCCCTGATGGAGCAGAAGGCGGGGCTTCGGAATCTGCATCAGTATCCCACCGCCCGGCATAAAAGTTTGGTGAAAGACCGCATCCGGTTTGCGAGGAACTGGTGGTTGACAGGCGGAAACAATTACGAGTTGGTACACGAAGAGGGTCACGAGCGAGAGGCCACCGAGTGCTTTGCAGAGTACGCGCAGGATTCAAGCAATGATGTTTACCTCTTCTCGACCAACAGACTGAGTGATCTGCCGCCACGAGACCGACTGAACGCCATTGTTGGCATTATGACCTCTCGCTGGAAGGTCAGAGATAGCAACCGCGGCTTTGACAAGGCGAGACTGCTACTTCAAGCCTTGGAATGCTTCAGCGAAATGCGTCTTTCTGGGCAAATTAAGGAATTTGAGGAGCTCCCAGAGGCCGACCAGGACACTTTTTTGCAATACGTTGAGGGATGCTCCCGGTTTGCGCAGGCGTGTTCGCATTCGCATCCCAGTGCTGTTGCGATTTTGTTACGTGTGGCCCATATTTGCGAGGAGATGCGGTGTAGCGAAAAGCGTGACGAGATTATTCACGTGGCGGAAGGGGCGGCAGAGCGCATGGACCGTGCATATGCCTTTAGTCGCCCTCATGATAATTTGAAGAGACCTCCACCATCACTGATGGAGAATGAGTCGGTGTTGCGACATAAAAACCTTGAGGAATTAAAGAGGCGGTTTAGGGATAAGGCACCTCATGTGCTTGAGAAACAACAACAGCCAGAGTACGTCCACATTCACCGCAACAAGCGTCTCTACCTGCGCCCCATGGATGCGAGTAGAAAAGAGTTGGAAATGTTGAGACTTCCTGCACGACCGGAGTTTGATTCGTGGACCGCGGACCAAAGGTAGCGAAAACTTGTTTTTTTTTTCTTTTACTTTTGCTGTTATCCCTCTCTTTTTTTGTCATTATTTGTTTTTTGTTTTTGTACGTATCTTTTATGTTATACCTTTTCATTCCTATTTCTTTGCCTTCTGGTTTACATTTTTTGCTTATTATTTCTATTTTCTATCTTTTTGTGCAACGAGTTTATTTTTTCTTCTGTGAAGTGGAGGAATTTTGAGGAGGGGCAGGTGTGCCTTCTGCGGTCCCACCTATGTCGCACTATAACACCGGCATTGAGAACATTCCGTCATTGTTTGATTTGGCGAGTGCCCTGACTGGGTTCATTGCGGATTTTGCACAGGTTGTGTTAGGCACCACCCAAACATCCTTTAAGCCGGCCGTGTTGGAAGATGACGACCTCGGCGAATATGATCCGACAGCCCGCAGTTGGGAGGGAACAGACGGGCTGCGTTACCGAGTTCCGCTCTACCCCATTCCTAGCGAGCGGCACACACGTGACAAAACCAGGAACATTAGGGTTCTCATGGATAACTGTCGTCGTCTCTGTGTGGAGGACCAACTGCCTAGTACGAAGGAGGAGTTGCAGTTTTGGACGGCGTATCGGTTTATGAAGTACCAGATGTACTTGGCTCCTACGTGTATTATCATGCCTCCTCTTTACATTTTTTGGCGAATGTTTCATGACCGCATTCCTCGTCCACTGCGTGGCCGGACAATTCCAATCACGCTTTCCCTTGCCCTAGCAGAACAGTGGGCCGAGGCGACATATCCAGGACACCAGCTCTTGTCCACGGCGTTGAAAGCAAAGACACCGATGGGGGATGCCGCTCGTGCAGAGTGGCTGCGTCTGCAACCGATCGATATACCATTCTACATCTACACCGCTTACCAGTTTCAGCATTTTTTTGGAAATCCCCCAGCTACACTTCAGTTTGGTGGAGACGTGGCCTCGCTGTGTAGCTAAAAAAGAAAAGGAGAAAAGAGACGTCTTCTTGTTTGTTTGATTTCGTCCTTTTTTCTACTCTCTCTCCTTTTTTTTTTTTTTTTTTAACCATGTCCACGAAAGGCGGCAGCTTCAATTCTGAAAATTGTTGGTGAGATGTGAGGCCGTGTTTTTGGCTGGTATGCATGGGATGGAGGTGTCCCGTAATATTCTGCGCCGAGAACGCCTACCGCCTTTTATTTTTTAGCATGGGTTTCATGCGTATCTTAACGGAGATGATTACTTTTTGGAAGTCCACCGCTTTGAGGGGGACGGATTTTATTACATTGAGTACAACCGGCGGTGCTGTGCTTTACGAGAGCTATGCATGGCCATCATCGAAGGTGTTGTGATCGGAATATTTCTTTGGCATGAATGGAAATGGCGGGAGGGTTTTACATGCAGGTTTTTATTGTATTTGAATGGGGGGTAGTGCATCTGCCTCCATGACCGTCTTGTCTTTATATATATATATATATATATATTGATTCTTGTTGTCGTTTCTCTTCGTCTTTGTTTGTATGTACACTGATATTGTTATTATTATTATTAATATCTGTTCCTTTCTTTATGTAGACAATAGGCGAGTGACGGGGGTGACTGGGTGAGTACGTGACGGGGATTTTAGTATTTGGATTCCTATTTGCTGTCTGTCCAATCTTTAGATGAAGAAAATGACGAAGCCTTTTCGGACTGTTGTTCACCTGCCGGTGGAGGAGGCGCGTGGGGCCATCGTCCGTATGATTCGGCGTCATAATGCGGTGGTCATCGTGGGTGAAACGGGCTCTGGCAAGACCACTCAGATACCACAGTACGTTTGGGACGATTTGGTCTCGAGGGAGCCGCCCGAGCAGCAGGGAATTGTGGGATGCACACAACCGCGTCGTGTGGCGGCGGTCAGTATTGCCCGCCATGTGGCAAAACAGCGCGGGGGAAGCGTGGGCGCCGAGGTGGCGTACGCTGTACGCTTTGATGACACCTGCAGCCGTCAAACTAGAATCAAGTACATGACGGATGGTATTCTCCTCCGTGAAATTCAGACGGATCCGGATCTTTCACACTATCGCTGTTTACTTCTTGACGAGGCCCACGAGCGAACACTTCACGGCGACGTTCTTTTTGGTCTTTTAAAGGACATCGTTCGAAGGAGGAAAAAAACACTGACCATTGTTGTCATGTCAGCCACATTAAACGCAGAGCACTTCTCTAAATTTTGGTGGAATGCTCCCATCGGTGTAGTCCATGGTCG